GAAAGAAATCCAGAGGTGTGATATCTGGTGAACTCAGTGGCCATGGAATTGGCCTTTGTAATAATTTTTTTAAATTGTAAAAAGACTTTATAGACACCCTGTATATTGTGTGTTTTTCTGATTATATTTAATTGAGTAAAATTAAGTAAAAACTTGTGTAATGGCAATCACTTTAATTCAATGTGTTCAGCTTTCTTTCTTTTTTCCTTTCCCTTTTTTTTTCAACTCTTAAATTACAATGAATAATATATTTTAAAATGCTGGACTAATCTTTGTGTATAAACTAATAAATCCAAAATTGTTAAACAATTTGCTGTAATTAAACTATCTGGATTACATAGGATCAATCACACATTATTTATAAGAGCATCTGAAGTCTAATGCCGGTAATTCTTCAAACATTTAGACCAAGAATGTGACAGGTGCAAATGAAAATAACTGAAATTATATGTAGTTCCAACCATGAGCAAGATGTAAAATTTATAGAAACTTTAGCCATCAAGAAGCTCAAACCAAGTTGTATTTCTATGTAGCACATAAGATTACTTTTGCTTACTGTCAATAAAGCTACTTAAACAAAGTTGAAATGATAAAATTATAGTGACTTCAGTGAAGTTTACAATAATATAAAATTTCAAATGCTTTGAAAATGTGAATGTGAGAAAATACTTAACTCATCAAAATTAATTTTATGTCAGTTGGTAAAGCATTTTAAATAAGATGACATTCTTGTCAGGGAGAAAGCAATTTAAAATGTTTGAAAAATGCTAAATAACTTTTATATTAACATTAAAACCCTTTGTTTTGTATTATAATATGTAAATACTTGTGTAAGTTAATAATAATTCATATATGAGATTTACTATTGTCAGGATTTTAAATCCGAGTGGGCGGGGATTCTTCTATGATTGGTGTCTGTCTTGGTTACCTATATATATAAATACCTTGCCCAACTGAGGCCTGGAATTTTCTACAAACTAGGAGATGCTATGATGTAACAATACCCACATAGCAAGAAAAACTTGGAGGTTTTGAGAAAGATGACGTCAACAATACTTCAACAATTGAACTACATACACAATGTACAACTCTTACCGAATTATGTAATGAAATTTGTCATAACTATTACTTTTAAAATAACTTTTAACACTCCAGTCATGAAAACTAAATATTCATAAAATATTAAATCACTAAATAAACTAAATATTAATTATTAAGCAAAACAGTCTTGTATATCCAACAACTATACATTTTGAAAGTGTATAGTAACTCCTGTGTAAGGTTAATGTAATGACATAATGATCAAGTAAGAAACAAATTTTATGTAAATCTTTTTCATATGAACCTTCTCAGTGTTAAAACTATTAAGATTTAACAACTATTCACATCTAAATATTAACATAAGTATTGAATAGGGATGAGAATTTTCTGCTTATTGGTGGATTTCTGCCTTTTTAATGTTGCTTAGTGCTGTATATGAAATTCACAGTAATATAGGAAGAGTTTTAAATTTATTGCCTATCTTACCATTCTAATAAAACTCGAAAATAAAACATTCAAAGTGAGCGTTCACAACCAAATGTTGCTATATTTCAGTCTTGCACAACAATGATATATTCTCTTCATTTTTATATCTTGCGTATAACTACAACAATTTTTGTGTAATCAAAACCTCGTTAATACATTTTCCAGATCTTACAAAATGGAGTACTTACAACATAGAATTTTTTAACAAAAAGATTCATTGAGAATTTACAAGTTAGTTGAATTTAAAGATGGACTTAATTTTTAAAATGTCATAGATTATCAAACAGCATGATAAAGTAAGGCTACAGAAGTTAATAGTTCAGTTAAAAACAAATTTGGGTGGGACTAGTTGGAGAAAAAACTAGAAATTACATTTTTTGTTGGGAGTAAACCAAAATCTGGGAAAATTCATTGAAAGGCTGATTTATCAGGAAAAGCTTTATGTATAATATGCAACAAACTTATAAACTATGCTTCATGGGGGTTCTAAAATTTTAACACCTGAAACTACTAAAATGCACATAAAACAGTAATGACCAATCATATTTGACTAATTTACTGTAAAAGTTAAGAGTATCATATCTGTTAAATATACAAAAACAAAGACAAGAAAATGTACCAGAGGACTTCCAATTTTGAGAATTTTTCTGGGGGGGGGGGCATATCCTGGGATCAAAAAGGTACTCAGCATCAAACTCAGACTACTTTGAATGTTTTTTTCGTTTACTCATTCTCATCAATGGTGGTTAAGGTGTTCATGCATTTCAATTATCAAGAGCTTACTAATTACAAATCTTACAAGATAAAACAAGCACATAATTTGACTCTGTATAACTTCAAAACTTTTGGACATTCTTCAGATTCCCACTTTTACCTAAGAATCTCCAGATGTGTTTGATTGTTTAATTTAATTTCATGTTTTCTGTTCACATATTTTTTTATTTAACATAGTCTTATAATTTTTTTTATGGCTGGTGCTTGTTGTTATTGTTTTTTTAGATGACTCAACGCTTGGAGCTTTATGCTGAAAGTTTGAATCAAGCTGTCCAACTGGATTTTAGACCACAAGTTGTTAACGAAAATGGACCCAAACAAGTAAAAAAACTTGACTGCCAATTAGTTTCTCTTGTTTGAAAAAAAAACTGCAGTTCTGAAAAACCAACAAAACTGTTTATTTACTATAAATTTACATAAAAAATGAACATTATATTTGTTCATGTTTCTCTTCTTTTATCTCAAGCATTAATTTGCAGAATATCTCAACTGATATTTTCTGATATGTACTTTATTGAAATATTTCAAATATGCATGTCGTGTGAAAATAAGATAAAATGAAATTGATTTTAACACATTTTATATTTATCCAACAGTTGAACTGACATTTTAATTTAAATGTAAAAGAAAAAATTATTTTTTACATCCTTACTGGTGTAGGTCAGTGGTTAGTGTGCTGGACTGTAGATAAAAGATTCCATGGTTTGTGTCCTATTACTATTGGAAAAAAAAATCATGCTTGGCATTTTAAGGCCAAGGGTGTATTATAAGAGTAGCACACGAGTTGGCAATGGGTGATGATGACTACCTGCCTTCCATCTAGTCTATCACTTCAAAATTAGGGATGGCTAGTTCAGATATTCTTTGAAGGGTTTGCATAAAATTCAACAACAACATCTTTTTTCAGTGCTCGATTTTTAGCCACAGTATAGCAGCTCATAGAATGGCTCCGAGTTTTTTTCAAGTACAAACTTTTAGCTCATCGCTCCATCATCTCTTGACTGATTTGAGATATAATTATGGTTTTGGGCCCAGGAGGTCAAATCCTTTTGATTAATGTATTTGATCCTGCCCAAGGTCTCATAGTTTAATTTATTCTAATCCTGCCTACAAGAATTTCAATTTGAGGGTAGGCTGGTAGAGACCTTGATGAATAATAAAATCGAATTGGGTATACGCACCCCCAATGCTTGGTATTGCTGGTGCACAAAAATTTAGCTAATGAAAAGGGAAAAAAGGTCTCGTAGATTAATTTACTCAAATCCTACCTAAAAGAATTTCAAGTGCCACGGCTATTGAGGATTCCCTCTTGTTCCTTTTTTATGTACTTGTTTGAAGCTAATTCATTTACTACTTAATAAGTCAAAAATAATATGTTTCAAGATGGTAGTCTTGTTCATTATTATTATCATGAGTTTATCTCATGGCTAACTGATCTTCCATACAATATTATTGTTATTAGCAAATGATTTTTTATGAACATTGTAATTTCTAGTTTGTACTAAGAGTTTGAATTTTTTAACTTTGATAGATATGTGAGGTGTTACTGTAACACTTTATACAATTTTTTACTACTTTGTCATAAATGACAGAATTTGTGACTGGTTTGTAAATGATTGTACATTTCAAGATCCTTTGGTTGATTTTCTAATAATTCTGTTATCTGTGACTGGCTTTACAATTCAATTTGTAACTAAATAGCCAGTAATGAAGGAGTTTTTTTTTATCAAAGGTATTAAAACTGTTGTCTTGAGAATTCATAAATAAATTACATTATACAAGAAAACAAACTTGGTAATATGTCTAAAAAATATTTTAGAAAATTGACTCATGTTATACAAGATTTTTGTATTTTACAGAATACAACAAAATGAAGTTATTATGGGGTGAAATATATACAAGTTTAGGAAGATGCAACCTTTTTATTGTTGTTTTATGTACAACCTAGAGACTGAGAATGGATTTTTTTATAGTTTTTACCCTGCTTTAAGTTTTTGTTTTTTGCTTAATGCTCATCAATAAATGTAATTTTTGATATGTTTTATACATAATTTTTCTTATTTCAAAAACTTTATAAAAAAGCTAAAGTTAAAAATACTTTTTATATAACTCAAACTAACCCATAATGTTTAAGTTTTTTTATTTGATTTTGACTAATATTTTTTAGTTACAATTAAGATGTAAACTCAAAATATTAACAATAAGCTTGTGGTTTAAAATTCCAACATGCTTAAGGGTATGTATTGTTAATATAGCTTATTCTTTTTTGGTTTTGTGTGTTTTTTATTAAATAGTGTCACAAATATAAACACAGAAGTAATGGTAAAGGATTATTGCATATTCCTACCTTTTAAGAAAGGCTTCCATGTCAAACAGTTACAGAAATATGACCCAGCAATGTATTCACAAATATGGAGTGAACTTATTAATGTTATGTCATATTTCTGTTGTTCTTCCTTTTTAACCTACCTACATTATTTTCAAATATTTTAATTGATGCAGGAATTTTATAGACTGTTAATCATTATTGACTGGGTAAATATTGTTTGTGTAACATCCTAAAAAAGTAGGGATGTAATTTTTTGTATGAAAAGATATGTTTAATGAGAATTCAACTTCTTAAAAGTTGATTCAGAAATTTGTGAATTGATGTAGGATTGCAGTATGCAAATTAATAATTTGATATGAAGTAATTTTTTTTTCTGTTGATTTTATTGTTTAATGTTTTGTATGAATGTCTAAAGATTTTGTAGCAAGTTTATAAACTGTTGGTGAAATAAATCAATTGTACTTTACACCATAGATGAATTCTGTCCATTATCATTATTAGTTATTGTTCAAGAAATCAGTTCAAGAAAACTACTATTTTTATTATTATTGTATATTAATGAAATGAATGGAGAGAAAATAACTGCTACATAAAAGTCACCATCATTATAACATTAAATATTACTCATTCTTAGAAATGCTACAAAGGGACAGAACTTGGAATAAAACTTTTTCTAATGTTTTGCCCATGGTAGATGTGACAAAAAACTTTGCCTTTAACATGTATGCATATTATAACACTTCAAAATTAAAACAACCCTAAAAGCCACATTTTAATTGTTTAAATAATGGAACTGTGTTGATTCAGATGTAGTTTATATTGAGCTATGAGATAACATTATCTTATATTGATACGAAGTAATCATTTGTTTTTTTATCTTGATTTTGTTGTTTAATGATTTACATAGTTAATATTTTATATGAATGTTTAAAAAACTGGAGGTGCAGTAGTATACCACGTTGTAGTTCAATTTGATCTGTGCCTACAATCTTGAAATGGCTTAAGTTAATATAGGTGCAACAAACTGCTTAATGATAGATGCCATAAATATAGATTTAAAAAATTTATAAGTAATCAAAAAATGCTTACCTTTTGGTATAATGTATTTTAATTAATTCTAGTAACCAGTCTGAAAATACTTAACTGTATTTGTGGGTATGTATGTCCAATTCGTCTACTAATGTGTAGAGGATTATTAAATTCACAGTTTATATCTATTTGAAATTTTTATTAATCTTAGTGAGCCAGATGTAGATTATGTGGTTATTATGTTGAGCTGAGGATCAGAGAATCTGTGGATTGAGATGAGATTCTTCTGATTAATCCTTGTGTTTTCAACTCTTGGTACGTTACAAAAGTTAGTCAATTTCATTTTTGGTTCAGAAAGCCAGATAGACTTATTTCTGTGGCAGATGTAGTCAGGTGGCTGCTTTTTCTATGGTCAGTAGTTCAAAAATAGGAACAGTTATATCTGAATCTTAGGGATGTATGATTTAGCTTATACTATGTGAATAAGGTGCCTTTCCAATTCAAGGACACAAATAAAGCGCTATTCTAGCTATATCATGAATCACGACAGTGTTTTATAATAGGGATCGCAAGGAATTGCACAAAACCCCAATAGAACGTTCGGGCAAAAAACACCGTCGACAGTAAAAATTCAGTTCAAACAACACTTTAAAACCTTTGCTATTGGCTGGTAAGGATTTACACATATAAAGATGCACAAAAAAGCACGCATGTTAGACTTAAAAGGAAAAGAAAATCCGCTCAAAACTACTCGTTTGTAATTATTATTATAATAACTTTCTTGCCAGCCTACAACAAAAACGGCTTGGTTTTTTGCACCCAAACCTTTTGTAGAATACTAAATACGGAACTGCGAAGGTCGTAGGAGTATTGAAAAGTTGATTTGTTTCTTCTATATTTTACATAAACTAAAAACGTCATAATTATAGTGTGAACCATGTTATCATTAACCCTTAAAGTTAGCTTTTTTACAAATATCTGGTGTTCATTTAAAAAACTTAAGTACAGGGCGAAACTAGGAATTACCAGCCAATAATAGATGACTGTAACATGTAGATATTCATTGATTTGTAAACAATACACTCGGTGTCTTTAGGGAGCCAATCCCTATATTATGTATGAAATGAAGGAGTAAAAAAATCAATACCCGTAATATTAAATTTCATTACACGCATTCGTAGAATAATTACTTTACAAGACATGAAGGTTTATTTAAAGCGATGTTTTAGATGTATGTTTTATTTAAAAAGGCTGTTTTTCTACTGGTAAAATTTTATACCCGCTTATTGGTCGTTGTATCTTAGTATAGACATATATTTGCCTATTGCTATGCATTACATATATATAGAGAGAGATAATTTAGTTACACAGAAAACACAGTATAAAAGCTCACTATATTCTCAAACGAATCTTCATGGTAATCTTTAGCAGCAGTTTTACATTTTACGTCCCGAAATTAATGCGATCAAATAGCCAATAGCTTCACTAAATCATCATGAATCGTATCAGCTAGCAACTAGCCACGTTTATTATTATTATTATTACAATGTATAAAGTTACCTATCATATCAAGTAATTTTTTTCGCATAACTGAGCATAAATAAAAGCCAACAAACAAGATAAATAAAAAATTAGGAACGGCTAGCGCCAATAGCCCTCGAATAGCTTTACGCGAAAATCGACAAAATAATGAACAATATTTCATTTTGTGTACGTCCGCTATTTAAAAAAGTAACCTTTTTTAAAGTTACAAATAAAAACTTACGTTTCATTAAATAAGTACTAAGTCACTTGCTTTAATTAAATTCTTAATTCTAAATATTTTAGTTAGGATTTATCAGGGAGCAGTATAAATACTAGAGAGCAATTTAATAAGTGGTCCTTGAGAGAGTAAACGAGTAGTTGCAAGTTGTAGAAAAGGAAACTTGATACAATTTTTTAAATGTGAAAGATGTCAAATTAGAAACTTCTGTTAAACTTCTTTGTAAGGTGTAAATTTTCAAAGGCAATGAATACAGCAAATAATACTATGACTTAAAATACATGGGCTGGTATGTTCTAATGGTTAACGTGAGTAGACTGTGAATCCGAGAATTAATAATGAAAATGGCTGTTAGCTTAGATAATATAGAACTGTGGTATATAACTAGGGCTGGTAGAATACAATATCTAGATATTGATGATACGATAGGTATCTAGATACAGAAGTCTTACTAACGGTTTGTTACAAAATTTGCTAGTCTTATCTGTAATTTATTATCTATATTACTAACTTTGTCCTGCTACAATTTAAAGTAATTCTAGAAAGAAAAAGGATAGTTTGATTTATTTGTATTTTTATGGTGGTTACGAGGATGGTCAAACTGACCGAATTCACATAAAATTGGGGTAGTGAATATAGCAGATAAAATATGAAGGTTTTGGAAAGTGCAAAAAAGAAACTTGCTAATTTTTTGATGTAGCAAAATATTTTTTATGGTAACATGAAAATCGCTTTACACTCGGAACAGTGAGTACTTTGACTCCATATATTAAAACATTAATTTTTAGCTAAAATACTTTATTAGAAATTCTGATTTTTCTGTACAAAAGATTTATCGTGTTTACCGAAAGCTTGCCAAATTTCGTGAAGATACATAAATCATATCTTTTTTTTGTATCAGACGATGTACCGATACAATCGTATCACAGCTTCACGATACGATACTCCTATCGTATCGCGACACCCCTAAATATAACAGTAGGAACTAATAATGTATTACAACATTATTATTGCTCCTGCATCTGTCTTCTACAGAAATATCTAAATACTCCTTTTTGCTCCAGCAACCAACAGAATCCTTAGGTCTGGTAAATATATAGTATTTTTATCACTTTGTTATCACAGAAATGAAAATTATTTTATTACAAGATACAGCTTTTACAGTAAGGAAGAATGTTTTTAAAACAGGTACGACATTTCGATCACTGCGTGGTGTGATAATTCTCAAATACACAGGATTTAATGATAATGAAGGTTAATACTTCTAATCAGTAAGTACACTCAAAAAGAAGCTAGAAATAAAAATTGTTTTCTGTTTGCGTGTGTGCTTTGATGCCAGTTCAATTTATTATCTGCTTAACTTACTCTAGAATTTTCTTATATTGCGGATTACTTATAGCTCTTCTGTTGGTTATCAGTTTACCTGAACACCACATTTGAACTTCTGATCTGCAGTTCGGCCTAGTAAAGATAATAATAAACTAATAATCTTCCTATTAATAATTGGGACGACACAAATTAGGAGGCAGAGCGAAAGCTAGGTTCATACAACAAAGATAGGTTCAACCTGTCAGTGTCTCTGTTTTTTAATGATACAAAGTTTAATTATAAAATATGTTAGTTTGATGCATAAGATCACTGTCGTTGTTATCACGCCTGAAAGTTAAATTCTCATTAGAATTCAAAGTAACAAAAAGAGTATTTTACTTTAATTATAGATTGAAAGAGTTAGTTTTCATACAAAGGTTCTGCGAGAGTAAATCAAGACGTGGTTCATTACTAAATACCTATATAAAAGAAAACCTCTCAAAAGATTCAGTTTATTAGACCTTGCCCTCATTGAGTCAGCGATGAGTCAAAGGGCTTATATCGCTAAAAGTCGGATTTCGGTACCTGTGGTGGGCACAGCCCAGATAGCCCATTGAATAGCTTTATGCAAACAGATAGACATACAGTTAGGTCTAACATATGGAAGAAAGAGTTAATAAAGTATTTAACTTCTCATCCTTTGAGGGTTGGACTGGTTAGCATGCAAGACTGTGAATTGAAGGGTCAATGGTTCACGTCTTGTTGTTTAAAAATTAAAATAAATCATGTTACACTTCGATTAGAGATACTCAAGAGTGTTCAATGGACGCTGTTGACTAGCGCTACCTTCTCTTTAGCTTATTAGTTCAAATTAGGGATGGCTAGCTCGGATAACTCTTGTGTAGCTTTTTACGAATATCCCAAACAAAACGATCTAACTATTTCAGTTCATAAACAAGTACTTCTATTACACAGTAATTCGTTAAAACAATCCACTTAAAATTTATTACTAATTATAACTCATGGAAAATACCAGTTGTGAAAATTATTTCTGATAACTGATAGATACCAGTTTTTAAGACGCAATATACCACATAAACTCGTTTATATACGATTAAGTTCAGAACAAAAACTAAGGATATTGTTGCGTCAGCGAGGTCACGTGACTAGTATCACGCCACCTCTTTCTAGAAATATCCTGTTCCTTCAAGAATGCCCTAGCATTTACTAGATATGTGTTAGTCTTGTATATATAAGACGTTCACAACGTGACGGGACAACAAAGTAATGAGTAATTGAATGTATGCGGACAAAATATTGTTGGCCACGTGAGACGTGAATTATAGTGTTGTTATAGAGCGACTGTTGAAATTA